GATGATCAATCATAAACTTTTCTGATTGCAAAACCATCATTTTTGTGAAATTTCACTTGATCTTCCTCTTTTCCTTTTCCTGCTACTGCCATTGTTTCATTTATAAGGAATGAGACTACGAAGACCTCAAGACCTTAACTATACTTTGATCTTTTTACAACAAGTGATCTAAGATAGTAGAGTCTCGTGCTGATAACGTGTTATAAAACAATAAAAGAAAAAGAAGAGTATTGCATAGAAAAGTAGGAAGAGAGAATTCTTATTGATTTGGAATAAATTACAATGGAATAGAACCCTCTATTTATAGGGAGAGGGTGACTTAGCCACCAAGTAATAAACCCTAGAATCTCTCTAAATATAGACATTCACCATAAATAAAATTCTATTTATAACATAATCACATTTAAAAGAGCATTTTTGTAATTTTGGCTATTTTTGGCTTACTGCAGGATCTGGTGTAACTTTTTGTGGTGCAGTTTATGCTATTTTAAATCTATTTCTATTATCTTTTGCAATTTTTGGTTTTGCGACTTTTGGATTTGATAAATCTATCCCGTCAAATTATTTAGTCTGACCTGCAATTAGGCATATGGTAGCAGAGATGGGGATGTTAAGATGAATGTGCGGGCACAACAGGTTAGATAGGATGAAAAATGAGGTTATTCGCGAAAAGGTGGGTGTGACCCCTATTGAACACAAAATGCAGGAAGCGCGACTTAGGTGGTTTGGTCATGTGAGGAGGAGGAGCACAGACGCCCCGGTTAGGAGGTGTGACAGGTTCACATTAGAGGGCCTACGGAGAGGTAGAGGTAGGCCAAAGAAGAGGTGGGGAGAGGTGATTAGGCAAGACATGGCGCAACTTCAGCTGACCGAGGACATGACCCTTGATAGGAAGGTATGAAGGTCGAGGATTAGGGTAGTAGAGTAGGTAGTCTAGAGCGTTCATAACAGTAGTATTGGCACGCAGTCTCGCTTGCTGTTGGTAGTATGTTTTTATGATTAACCATTGTTTTATTTCATTGTTGATCACCTTACTATCTTGTTATTTTTATTCTGCTTTTATATGGCTTATTGGTATTGTCCCTTCTTGTATATATTTTCATTAATGTGGTGCTTATGCTTTCCTGAGCCGAGGGTCTATTGGAAACACCCTCTCTATCCTCACAAGATAGGGGTAAGGTCTGCGTGCACACTACCCTCTCAGACCCCACAGTGTGGGATAATACTGGGTATGTTATTGTTGTAATCAATCATGTAACTTGAAGATCTGAAATTCGTATCTCATGAAAAGCGTTAACTCAGTTTCAAGGTGAATATATGTAGGTTAGTAGCGGTGCTTATCGGGTGGATCGGACAAATAATTACGCTTAACGGTTCGGCTTATTGGTTAACGGATTATAAATATAGTAATTCGCTAGCCCTTCAATAAGACAACGGGTGGATTGATATCGGAATAATGATTATCTGGCTGTTTATCGGCTAAACCAAATAAAATTTTTTTTAACAATCCTAATCTTGTGAATACAAAACGGCCAACTACATAGTTCACTAGCTTTTATAATTTCAACTTACCATTCATAATCCTCGTTACATTACTCAATGAAGACTTATCATGGAGTATATAGGATTATCTTTGGAACAAATTTTTTCAACACTCAATGATTGTCATAGAGGTCATGATTTTCTCTAGAAGAAATTAACTACGTAACAAAGATACACATATTGTCATGCATAAGAAGGTAAAAGTGTAAATATAAAATTTTTTATCGGGTTAGCGGTTTATTTGATTAAAAAATTGATTCGCCCCCAAATCGTTAAGCCGTTAATTATAAAATCTCAATTCTTTCACCATCCATTACCCCGATAACGCGATACCAATAAGCCATCGGTTCGGTTCGATTAACGGTTACATTTCGATTTTGTACAGCCCTATAGGTTTGTAACATTAAAGTTGATTGTGAAGATTGGTGAACTTTCACTTATTCATTGGTTTGACTTTCAAACAAATCATCAATTTTTCTTTATCGTTTAAAGGATCAAATATTAACTATAGTCTTAAAAGGGTTTGATTTGCTTATATTGCAAAAGGAGAATAAAAAGCTAAGACATGCCGTTATTGTTTTCGTACTTTTCAACTGATTTCACACTTATAATCTGTTTTTAATAGTAACTCTATATTTAAGGTGGTAGAACACCTATAATCTTAAAATATTTAGTCCGCCATTGATTTAACAGGATTATATTGATATTTTTAGTTAAATTTTTTTAGTTTTTATCTATCTATATCTATACTATATTAAAAGTGGGAAGCTTCTAACTGAAAAATTAAATTACTATACTACCCTTTCTTATCAATCTAAATATCCTATTTAATAAAAAGAAAACCTAATGCATAGGAAGAGAAGCAACGGTTCAGAATCGTGTTTTGAAGAACACACGCATGTTTAACTTGCTACTTCTCCCCGCCAAGAGTTACACTTTCTTGCTAATCAATTTTCGTATTGGGGTTAGTCTTGGTAGAACAGACTTTGTACTTCTCTTCTCTTCTCAGTGCTCTTACCGGATATTCACTGTTCATTCTATTCACATATGGAATCTGGTAATTTTATTCTATTCTTTTCCCATCCTTTGCAGTTTATTGTTAACAAATTCAATAGAAAAAAAAAGGTTTGGGGTGGGGATAGATTTGCTGAACTATTTAGAATGATAATCTCAAGAGTCAATGGAGAAGAAATGCACTCAGAAAATGAAATAAACTACTAAGACACAGTAGAATATAGATCTTGAACAGAATACAGAATTTTATGGCTTTGAATGAGTCTATAATCCTTTACATATACTACTTGTGCTTGTTAAAATTCTTTAGAAGTTTGAGAATCAACTTCTGAAGGTGTTCTTATTTAGAGGTTATTTGATGCAAACTTGTTATACATTTTCTTAAGATCAGAAAACTGAAACCTTAGTGAATGCAACGTATTAATAATCTTATTTCTCGAAAATAAAATCTATTTTGGCTTTTGATGACCCAATCTTTAATAACTTTTAGTTTGTCTAACTGACATTGACTTATAATAGAGGTGTATTGGAAAATTTAATTTATACTGGTGTCATGGAACACCAACAAACTTCAGTAATGAGCAGTACCACAATATAGTGCTATAGTCGTTTTATAATGAAAAGCTTCATTATGAAATATGTACACTCTGTTTTGCCCAAGCTATTGATGTTCAAATTCTTTGAACCATTTGTCATTTCCTCTGATACTCTATCGTGTGTTTCTATTTAAATAATTTTTTGGTTGTTGTGTGTAGGATTATTCTTCTTGTAATATGTAATATCAAATTGTTAAAAGTTTAGTTTTCAAAGGAAATCACAATTTATTCCATTATAGCTTACAAGATTATTTAAAACTCAAATTATATGCTGCACTATTTCATGTTACTGTTGTGTTTCACTCCTATAGAATCAACTGTAATTTACTTTCACGATCGATGTTGATGCAACTACACCATTCTCTTTACTCCAGTTTATTTGCTATTTCCTTTCTTTTGCAGTAATTTTTCTAAGGAAAATTCACCAAGTCATTAGGCCGGGTATCATGGTGCATGTATAGTTTATTAACTTAGAACGATCAGAAAGTTAGAAAGCAGAGAACAAATGTTAAAGTTAATTGTTTATGTGGATTAGTGGACGGTGAATTAAGATATTCGACCAGCATGTGCTTTAGAAGTGAAGAAAGTGGGCTACAATGGAGTTCAAATTATTTTAACCTTAAACTTTAATATATTGCATATTTGCATTCATAATTAAACACGTATGCATAGCTCTGTTTTGGCTTTAAACCACCATGTGTACTAAGAAAAAGATTGTTCATATTTTTGACTCATCTTTTGCTGCCAAATAAATGTTTATCCCAAGAATTCACTTTTTCTCCCATGAAAATGAATGTTTATTCCAAGAATTTAAATTTCTCCCAAATGAAGGATATCCTTTCAAGTTCATTCGAAAATAAGTTCACGTACATTTATGTTGCAATGCAATTTAAATAAACTACATGATCAAATAATAACCTAATATTGGATTTTATCCTAATTTCTTAAATGACCAACTTTACGCTGTCAGGAGAAATATCAAAGCTGACAATGAACGTCCTTATTATGACAGAGCAATGGAAACAGATGAAAGGAACATATACCAGTAATATCGTCTATAAGGAAGTATAAGTGAAATACGCTTTATTACATATTTGTACCTCATGATAAAATTAAGTAAAATAATCGCATGTATCTAATTAACTTTAATTCTGCATCTTTGTAGATTCACACGATATCAATCATCTTAATCTCGACAAACAAGTCACTATACGGTGATCCATATTAATCATCAAATAAACTTTTATTTTATTATTTCATGTATAATTCTTTACTCAAAGCTTTATCTTAATAATATTTTTACTATTTTATAAAATTGTGTACTTCATGACTTGACATACACGTGCAACGCACGTGTCGAGAAACTAGTTATATTTAATAACCAGAGTTTGTTAGATATCCGATGAAAAACAAAAGGCCTCACTTTTGACGACCTTAGAGGATCATAACGTTAAGAAATTAGTTAAGGGTCCATTTTAAACCTACTTTCAAACATAAGAACCATTTTTGTCGTTTTCTCTCATATGAAAGAATGATTTTGAACTTACTGTCAAAGTTATTTTAGTTATAAGTAAAACAAAATAAAATAATTTTTATGTAACTAAAATGAATTTTATGTAACAAAATAGCTTTTATATAAAAAAAAATTACAATTTTTTTGGTAATGAGCACAAAGCTGCATGAGAAATTTACTCCAAAAATTGCACCTTTTCTTTATTTTATCATTTTCAAACCTTAAAAATAAAAATAAAAAACAAGCATGGGAAAACTGAAAAGAAAAAAGACTAACATTTAGAAGAGCTGGTTAATCAGCAGGAAGAAGTGATTAACAAAGATGATTGACTTTTCCGCACTCCCCACAATCAGAATCAACCCTTTTCTCCTTTACCTTGAATTAATCACCAAACTACATCCCTCAGTACACTTCTTTTAGTTTGAAATGGGGGTTGAGTTGACGACTTGACTCTGATCAATATAGGTATGTTTTTCTCTCTCATTCTTCCCTCCTTTCTTCCTTAAATTTTCTAAAGTGCTAGAGGAGATAATAAATGTTACTGACTTACTATCTTGGAATGAACTTACTGGCAAGAGGAAGGGTTAGGTATTTACTTTCTAACCAGATAAATGTTTGCATATGTAGACTGTAGTAGCATGGTCTTAAGATGATTAGAGAACAACTAAAACTGATTCTTGTAATGTTATTTGGTTGATTGGTGATCAATGTTACTAGACTATTGCTTGTGAATTTTTTTTATCAAGATTGACTTTTAAGCTGTTTGGGACTTAAAAGTAGTGAAAGTATCTGCTGCTATAAACGAGGTTTGCAGTTTGAGGTGTGATATCATGACATTTTAGGGAAATGAAATTGGTGAAATAACTTGTTCAATCTAATCTGAAATCCTTTTGCTATAATCTCTTCTTTCCTGTTCAATACCTTTAATTTGTACTACTTGGAGTTGTTGAAGATGTTTGTTACAACAGCTAACATAATGTCTGCTGGTGCATGTTATTAGGAGTTATACTTTCCAATGATAACAGCTGGAGGCTTTTTTGCATAGAGGCTAGAAATTGTTCTCGACTTCTTTTCATCCTTCAAATCTAGTTAATTTTCTCACTAAACTTTGTGGCAGCAAAATCACAAAGGTCCCTTCTCGAGAAAAACTAATGCAGATAATGAAGTACCATTAGCTATTTTTTAGTGGAATGTTAGCATAATTCATCTAGCAATTTCTTCCATTAAAGTGGCTCTATGTCTATGGCATTCGGATTCGAAATTGGTCTAGTTTTGGTTTATTTGTTGTTTTGGAAGTTAATTTGTGCTTGTTTTGGAAGATAGTTTGTGTTTGGATTAGGCTAGAAATTGGTCTAGTTTTGGCTGAATTTCTTCCATTTATGTGTATATTATCTTGTTTGGATATTTAAACTTAAATTTTGTGCATACTTTGCTCTTGTATTTATATTTAAGAAAATTAAGAAGCAAAAAGTTCCGCAAGGCGTACTACTCATAGAGGAGCTAACCCTGGTGATTCCCTGTGCCCTCGCCTTCAGTCTGTCGTTTCTAATTGTGTCCTAGCTGATATATCTGTTTGCTTTGCTTACAATAAATTTTCTATATAATACTTCAGCGCATCAGGTCAATAATTTCTGTTCACTACTGTGTTTGCTTTGTGGCGTTTCTTCTTGTCAGTCTATATGGAGTTTGCAAGTCCGTGGCCCAAATTCAGAAAATCATCAGCCTGAGACAAAGTTAATGAATTCCATGCTAAATGAAGGGATCAGTGTATTGGGAAAAATTGAGTTTACATATTAAAGTGGTATAAAGATGACGTGTCATGACACGTAGATTGATCAAAGAGTTATGATTGGCAAAGAGGCACGAGTTGCAACAGATACGAGCAGATGCATAGAAAGAGGCACGAGCGGTTATTCAAAAGACTCAACGCCCGTACCTATTTAAGTCCATGAATTAAGGAGAATGAACCTGACAGTACAAAGGAGTACAGATACAGTATTTAATGAGCCTTAAATACTGAAAATGTTAGAGAATCTGTATTAAATACAATGAATATGTAATGTAGCATTTAATGTCTTTAATTGTCTATAATAGCCTTATTATGAAAAATGCAAAACGCATATCTCCAAAATAGCTATAAAAAGGAGATAATGGATCAATTGTAGGGACACGAAATATTATCCGAATACACTGGTTTACTTTGTTTTTCTGACTATCTCATTATTGACAAAATCATTCTTCTTTATTCGTTCTTTGATTATCAATAACCCGAGTTCTTCTAAATTATCGCTTTGACCGAAATTTCATTTTTTGGTTAAACAAATTGGTTCCGTTACCGGGAATCTGATAATCTATTTTTTCTTAACCTTGTCTATTTCGTTACATCAATGATCATGTCAAATGTTAACGATAACACCAAGGGAAACCAAGGAAATCAAGGAAACCATCAACTCCAAGGGGACCCACAAGATGTTCACACTCCGATCCCTTCTCCACAAATCTCGCCTTGGCGGTCTCGAGAAGGAACTCCCGATGGATCTCATTCAAATGCAAACACTCAATTCAACAACGATGAAGCTATCAACGAAGCTTTGCAGAAGCTGATCGCTCAACAGGTCAATAAAGCTCTTGAGGCTTTTGCCAGCCAATTACCTGCTGCACCGTCAACACCAGCTCTAAATACCAATACTTTGGAAAACCCTCGTTCTGGGCTTGTTAATTCAGGCAGTGGTGGAATCCCCAGTGAATCACGAGATGGAGAACCAGGTAACGTAGTCAATTCCGATTCACAAAATTTAGTTCTAACATTACAGAAACAGCTTAAGGAGCAAAGTGACCGCATAGAACAAATACCTAGAGTACCGCTTGTAATCAAAGGGATAGATATGGACAAATATTCACAGCAACCTTGGAAGCCAAGCGCTGCTCCTCTACCAATTCCAAAGAAATTCAAAATGCCTGATATTCCAAAATACGACGGAACAACTGATCCACGAGACCATGTGTCTGCATTTACAACTGGAGTAAAAGGCAACGACTTGACCAAACAAGAAATTGAATCAGTATTGGTCAAAAAATTCGGAGAAACGCTCACTAAGGGAGCATTAACATGGTATTCTCTTTTTACCCGAAAATTCCATAAATTCTTTTGCTGAGCTTGCAGATTCATTTATTAAAGCACATTCGGGAGCTCAAAAAGTCAAAAAGAGAATGGAGAATATTTTCAAAATCAAACAAGGGGATTCTGAGTTGCTCAAGGAGTTCGTGGATAGGTTCCAGCGTGAAAGAATGACGTTACCACGTGTACCAGATAATTGGGCAGCTATAGCTTTTACTAGTAATTTGAATGAAAAAAGCTCAGAAGCTACGAGGCGACTCAAGGAAAGTCTTCGTGAATTCCCAGCAACAACATGGAATGACGTCTACAACCGATATAGCACGAAGTTAAGGATCGAGGAAGATATTATCTCACGATCTCAAAAAGAAGAAAAGGTAAGTTCAAGACGGGCGGAAACAGAAAAAAGATAAGGTAAAAACAGGTACGAACCATATATGGGCCCAGCTGGAAAAGATTCACGGTCCAAGCATGATCATTCAAGGTACGATCATAGATCTAGAAATAGAGAATCGGGTTCATCATCCAGGTATGGAAATGATCGCAACACGCGAGAGTCACGAGACGATGATAGAAATTTGAAGGCGCGGTTCGGTGGTTATAATTTTAATGTGAGCACTTCCGAGCTCATTGTTGTTTTAAGAAGCATGGGTGATAAGGTGCGGTGGCCAAAAGAGATGAGGTCAAACCCAAACAGGCGCAATCCCGAACACTGGTGTGAATTTCATAAAGATCATGGTCACAAAACGGCAGATTGAGGTTACTACAGGGCGAAGTTGATCATCTGTTGAAGCAAGGGTATCTCACTGAGTTATTCAGCGAGAAAGGAAAGCAAGCATACATGAAGAATAGGCAGGAGCCCCCAAAACCGCCTTCCCCAAAAAGGACCGTTAATGTTATCAGCGGAGGTGAAGAAATCAATGGTGTGACGTATACAGCAGCAAATAAAGTATCCAAAGTCACGATTACCCACGGGAAGCAGATGCGGCATGTCTTAGAGGAAGAAAGCATTATGTTTGATGATGCAGATGCGGATGGCGTATTAACTCCACATAACGACGCACTGGTAATATCTTTACTTGTACATGACACTAATGTGAAACGAGTTTTGATTGATCCAGGTAGCTCTGTGAATGTTATTCTGCTAAGAGTTCTACACGAGATGCAAGCTGAAGCCAAATTAGTACCCAAGGTGCATACTTTGTCCGGGTTCGACAATTCCAGCGTCATGACAAAAGGAGAAGTAATACTTATTACTTTCGCAGAAGGAGTTGTCAAAGATAAAAAGTTTCAGGTAGTGCAGCTGGAAATGGCTTACAACATAATTCTAGGGAGGCCATGGATCCACGAGATGGATGATGTTCCGTCGACCTTACATCAAGTCATTAAATTTCCATCACCGTGGGGAATATGTCAAATCCGTGGAGATCAACAGACATCTAGGAACATTAACTCCTTAGCAGATTCAAACACGAGAAATGAAGAAAAATAGCAATTACAGTATTCAGTTGAGGATATCACAACGCAAACCTCAACTGAACAAGGGCGAACAGATGTAGATTCAAGGCCCGATTCCATTGAAGAACCAGAAGAAAAAGAGAATATCAAAACAACGATCGAAGAATTGGAGGTTGTAGTATTATTTGTACATCGGCCTGAAAGGAAAATCTACATAGGGGCCAATCTCAGCCCAGATGTGAAACGTAAGTTGATTGAATTTTTAAAAGCTAACGCAGATTGTTTTGCTTGGTCCCATTCTGATATTACAGGAATACCACCGGAGGTAATGACTCACAAGTTAAATGAAGACCCCTCATATACACCTGTCAAACAAAAGAAGAGAAAGCAAGGAGCTTTCAAAAATCAGGTGATTCAAGATGAGGTCCAAAAATTATTAAACAATGGATCTATCCGCGAGGTAAAGTATCCTAATTGGTTAGCTAATACTGTTGTGGTACCAAAAAAGAATGGTAAGTGGCGAGTTTGTGTAGATTACACAGATCTTAACAAAGCTTGTCCCAAGACTCTTTTCCATTACCACATATAGATCAACTAATTGATGCTACTGCAGGACATGAACTATTAAGCTTTTTAGATGCGTATTCAGGATACAATTAGATCAAAATGGATCCGATAGATGAGGAAAAAACTTCATTTATAACAGACAGGGGGACTTACTACTATAAAGTAATGCCTTTTGGCCTCAAAAATGCCGGTGCAACGTATCAAAGACTGGTGACCAAAATGTTCCAAGAACACTTGGGAAAAACTATGGAGGTCTACATAGATGATATGCTCGTTAAAACTCAACACTCGGGGGATCATAGATCGCACTTATTGGATACGTTTCAGATATTGCGGAAATTCAATATGAAATTAAACCCTGAGAAATGTGTGTTTGGTGTTGCATCAGGTAAGTTTTTAGGTTTTCTTGTTTCTAACCGTGGTATTGAGGTGAATCCAGCGCAGATTAAAGCCATTGAAGAAATCCCTGATGTACTTACAAATAAAAAAGAAGTACAGAGGTTGACAGGAAGAATTGCAGCTTTGGGGAGATTTATTTCCAAATCATCCGAAAAGTGCTTTAAATTCTTCTCAGCTCTTAAAAAGCAATCATTTCGAATGGAATGAGGAATGTCAACAGGCACTCAAAAATTTGAAGACATACTTATCAAACCCACCGTTGCTCGCAAAACCAAAAGCTGGGGAAAGATTGCTCATCTACCTTGCCGTCTCAGAAGTAGCGATAAGTGATGTTTTAGTTCGTGAGGATCAAGGTAAACAATCTCCGATTTATTATGTCAGTAAATCTTTATTAGATGCGGAGACGCGGTATCCTCAATTAGAAAAACTTGCACTGGCATTAATCATGGCATCTAGAAAACTAAGGCCTTATTTTCAATGTCACCCTATCGTAGTAGTAACTGCTTATCCATTACGCAATATATTACACAAGCATGAATTATCAGGAAGGTTAGCCAAGTGGGCTATAGAATTAAGTGAATATGATATCACATACCAACCTAGAACTGCTATAAAATCTCAAGTTTTAGCTGATTTCGTGGCTGATTTTAGCCAAGGGATGCAATTAGAAGCAGAAAAAGAGTTGCAGGTGTCAATGGAGCTAACCCAGGATTTTGGACCCTATTTACTAATGGTTAATCTAACGTGACGGGTGCAGGTTTAGGGATTGTTTTGGTACCACCTACGGGTGAAACCATTTGACAAGCCATTAAATGTCGTTCTATAATTAACACTGAGGCAGAGTATGAGGTTGTGATTGCAGGTTTAGAACTGGCACGAGAACTTGGCATAGATCAGATTGTAATCAAAAGCGATTCACAGCTTGTAGTTAATCAAATGCTGGGGACTTATACGGCCAGGGAAGCAAGGATGCAGCAATACTTAGAAAAGGTACGGGATTTGATAAAGCAATTTCAAACCTGGAAAGTTACACAAATACCAAGGGATGAAAATGTTGAAGTAGACGCCCTAGCTAATCTCGCATCTGCAGCAGACGTGGCAAGCGATGCAAATGCTTCAGTTATTCATTTATTTCATTCAGTTCTCGACCCCGATAAGAATGAGGTAAATTTTAATAACTTAACTTGGGATTGGAGGAACGAGATTGTTGCTTTTTTGCAGTATGGTATCGTCCCTAAAGATAAGAAAAAAGCTCATGCGCTTCGAAAAAAGGCAGCTCGGTATTGCTTAAAGCAACTATCGAAAAATGTTCGGTGGT